ATTCGGTATGCTCTTAGGAAAAACCCGATGATGATGCCTCTTTTGGTTCTAATAAAAACAATCTCACACACTTCTATTCAAGTCAAGATACTAGGACCAAAAGAGGCATCATCCAGGCCATGGAAAAACCTGGGTAGCCACAGCCACTCAAGAGGGAGAGATTTTTTAGTGCCAGGAAGGAAAAAAAACTGACAGGAAATGGCAGAAATCGTACACCAAATCCAATCATTTCTGGAGTGGAACCACAGTTGATGGCCTCCACTCCAAACCAACAGATACAGATACTAGTGCCAGAAAAAAAAAGTCCCCCCCGGTACCACCAATACCACCAGTCTGATGACATTCTTCTTTGCAAATATACAGGGTCTAAAACCAGCAACGAACAACAAAATACCTTTCATCCGTGGACTGCATGCAGAGGCAAATGCAATGTTCGCGGCTTTCACAGAGACCCACATAAAGGATCAATTTGACAACAAAATATGGATCCCAGGTTACAACCTATACAGATGCGACAGAGTGAACAGGCAAAAGGGGGGGGGGGTGGCCTGTATATCGCAGAGTCACTTGTTTGCACAAAACTGCTTAATGCCTCAAATGATGTAGTGGAAGTTTTAGCAGTAAAGATCGAGAACCAAAACCTAGTCATTGTGATAGTCTACATGCCTCCAGATGCAGCATCCCAGAAATTCCAAGAACAGCTGTTAAAAATTGACCACTGTCTAGAAAATCTGCCAGCTCCTGTCCCCAACATCTTGCTCCTGGGGGATTTCAACTTGAGCCACTTAAAATGGAGGAATATAACAAATAATGTTGTTGCAGTGATAACACCAGGAGGCAGCTCTGACGAGAACTCACACACGAGCTTTTAAATCTCTGCACAAAATTCAACTTAAACCAGCAAATAATAGAGCCTACTAGACTGAAGAATACACTAGACCTCATCTTCACTAACAATGATGATCTGATACGAAATGTCACCATATCAAAAACAATATACTCAAATCACAACATAATCAAGATTCAGACATGTATGCGTGGAGCCCCAGACCGACATAATGAGATTAGTCACGAGGGAGCATTCACCAAATTCAACTTCAATAACAAGAACATAAAGTGAGACCAAGTAAACCAAGTCCTAAATGATATAAGCTGGGAAGATAGACTAAGCAACACAGACCCCAACTTATGCCTAGAACAGATTAACTCGGTGGCACTCGATGTATGCTCAAGGCTTATTCCTTTAGGAAAAAGGAGGAGTGGATGTAAAATAGAAAGAGACCGTGCTCCCTTTACAGGTGATGGAAAAGAATAACAGAGCGGCTAAAAGAGGCCAATATATCTGAAATGCATAGGGAGACACTGGTCAGAGAAATAGCAAACATCGAACTTAAGCTAAAGGAATCTTATAAAGTCAGGAATCGCGGAAGAACTAAAAGCCATAAATGAAATCGAAAGAAACCCAAAGTATTTCTTTTCCTATGCCAAATCAAAGTTGAGAACAATGTCCAGTATTGGGCCCCTACTTAAACAAGATGGATCCTACACAGATGACAGCAAGGAAATGAGTGAGTTACTCAAGTCCCAATATGACTCAGTTTTTAGCAGGCCGCTAACCATACTGAGAGTCGAAGATCAAAATGAATTTTTTATGAGAGAGCCACAGAATTTGGTTAACGCATGCCTATCTTATATTATCCTGACGCCAAATGACTTCAAACAGGCGATAAATGACATGCCCATGCACTCTGGCCCCAGGGCCAGACTCATGGAACTCCGTGTTCATCAAGAACTGCAAGAAGCCCCCTATCACAAGCTTTTACCATCCTATGGAGAGGGGGCATGGACACAGGGGTCGTCCCACAGTTACTAAAAACAACAGACATAGCCCCACTCCACAAAGGGGGCAGTACAGCAATAGCAAAGAACTACAGACCGATAGTACTAACATCCCATATCATAAAAATTTTTGAAAGGGTCCTAAGAAGCAGGATTGCCACCCATCAGTTACACAACCCAGGGCAACATGGGTTTAGAGCAGGTTGTTCCTGTCTGACTCAACTACTGGATCACTACGACAAGGTCCTAGATGCACTAGAAGACAAAAAGAATGCAGATGTAATATATACAGACTTTTCAAAAGCCTTCGACAAGTGTAACCATGGCGTAATAGCGCACAAAATGCGTGCTAAAGGAATAACAGAAAAAGTTGGTAGATGAATCTATAATTTCCTCACAAACAGAACACAAAGAGTAGTAATCAGCAGAGTAAAGTCTGAGGTGGCTACAGTGACAAGCTCTGTTCCACAAGGCACAGTACTCACTCCCATCTGTTTCTCATCCTCGTATCTGACATAGACAAGGATGTCAGCCACAGCACTGTGTCTTCCTTTGCAGATGACACCTGAATCTGCATGACAGTGTCTTCTATTGCAGACACTGCAAGGCTCCAGGCAGACATCAACCAAATTTTTTCAGTGGGCTGTAGAAAACAATATGAAGTTCAACGATGAGAAATTTCAATTACTCCGATATGATAAACATGAGGAAATTAAAACTTCATCAGAAACAAAACAAATTCCGGCCACAAAATAGAGCGAAAAACCAACGTCAAAGACCTGGGAGTGATCATGTCGGAGGATCTCACCTTCAAGGACCACAACGTTGTATCAATCGCATCTTCTAGAAAAATGACAGGATGGATAATGAGAACCTTCAAAACTAGGGACGCCAAGTCCATGATGACACTCTTCAGGTCGCTTGTTCTATCTAGGCTGGAATATTGCTGCACACTAACAGCATCTTTCAAGGCAGGTGAAATTGCTGACCTAGAAAATGTACAGAGAACCTTCACGGCACGCTTAACGGAGATAAAACACCTCAATTACTGGGAGCGCTTGAAATTCCTGAACCTGTACTCCCTGGAACTCAGGCGGAGAGATACATGTTTATATACACCTGGAAAATCCTAGAGGGACTAGTACCGAACTTGCACACGAAAACCACTCACAACGAAAGCAAAAGACTCGGCAGACGATGCAACATCCCCCCAATGAAAAGCAGGGGTGCCACTAGCACGTTAAGAGACAATACAATAAGTGTCAGGGGCCCGAGACTGTTCAACTGCCTCCCAGCATACATAAGGGGGATTACCAATAGACCCCTGGCTGTCTTCAAGCAGGCACTGGACAAGCACCTAAAGTCAGTACCTGACCAGCCGGGCTGTGGCTCGCACATTGGATTGCGTGCAGCCAGCAGTAACAGCCTGGTTGATCAGGCTCTGATCCACCAGGAGGCCTGGTCACAGACCGGTCCGCAGGGGTGTTGACCCCCGAACTCTCTCCAGGTAAACTCCAGGTAATATGTAAAACATGGCTCCTAAGACGTATATATACAACCGAAACAATCAATGGGTTAAACAATTACTGTAGCTTTTTGCTACTTTCAGAAACAATTTCCTGCAATTTGGCAAGGAAATTAGCTACTGCTGAACAATCAGCTGAAGTACTTTCACCAGAAAATTTAGTATTATGTACCTTATTACATAACCTGAACTTGTGAAACTAGCCGGTGCTCAATACACACTCTCCCTTCAGGTCTTCCTCATCACACACTGTTTCATAGATCTTTAGGGCTTTTTTCCCTTAATTAAGATAAAATTAAGCAGTCACCTTTCTTTGTTTTCTGTTCAGTCCCCCTCAATCAGTAAATTTTCTGTTTTATTTAACTGCTGTGATCTATGTGTTAATCTTTTCAGGAGGTGACAACCTTGGTTATTTGTTGCAGAAGCCCATGTATTTGCCTCATTCTCTTTAATTGTACAAACCAACACTTCATTAAGACCATAAGCTCTCGCCATGTCCACCATATATGCACCACCACGACTTGGATGCTTAAACTCTTTTTTGCTACTTCCTGCATCACGCTCATGTGTTTTGGTTGTCATTGTTGCTTCACAGATACAAGATATGGTAATGAAAAGATCAAAACCTGATTCACAAACATGGATCTAGGAATCATATAGGATGTATATGTATGAGCACTGTCATGTGAGAGGTAGAATGGGGTATCAGGGAAGGAAGGTAGGTTTTTTCCATGCAAAGACAATGGCCTGTCCCACAGGTAGGCTGCCCAAGAGCCCACTAGATGGAGGGAAAATATCCCGCAGTCCAGCTCAAAGCATTCCCATATTTTACCCACCAGAAGCAGAACTGTGTTAGTCGAATTTTATGAAGTGTTAGTCAAAAATATGCTACAGTTTTGAAATAGTGTAATGGAGAAAACATGGTAAAGGAACATGTGTTAATCAATGGTCTACTGTATACACTATGCCTAAATATTTCTTAACTTTTTTTAGTTTTTCAAAAAAATAGAAGTGGCTTTATTTAGTGAAACGTGTGATAATATAAAAAAAAAACTTTAGCTCAATACATATATTGTATCCGTAATGGTGGAATATTGTACTATACTGACTCATGTTTCTATTGCAGAAGTATTTTGTGCAACACAACCAGGTTGTATCTTCCCAGACACTATCTTCAGCACTTTAAGAAGCATCAGTGTGTCTTGAACAACAAGTGTTACTGCAGAAGTATTTTGTGCAACACAACCAGGTTGTATCTTCCCAGACACTATCTTCAGCACTTAAAGAAGCATCAGTGTGTCTTGAACAACAAGTGTTACTGCATAAATATTTTATAGAACACAACTAAGTTGTGTCTTCCCAAACATTATCTTCAGTACTACAAGAAGCATCAATGTGTCTTGAACAACAAGTGTTACTGCAGAAATATTTTGTGCAACACAACTAGGTTGTGTCTTCCCAGACACTATCTTCAGTACTAAAAGAAGGGCAACACCTGTTATTCTTGTGAATTTTTAACTAGCTAAGTATTTCTAATCACACAATTTTGCTTTTGATATTGGTAATTCTATCTAAAAAAATGCATAGCAGTTCATAGAAAAATTCAAGTTAATATTACTGTTTGTTAAGAATTTTCATAAAAATCATTGTTTAAGAACAAAGAGAAAATAGTAATTTGGTAGTTTTGCCTAAAACAAAACGGAACATCGTAATATATTCATGAGGAAAACTGTGTGTGTTCAGTATCAAAAAAAGCTGACCAAAAAATAAATCTTGAAATACGCATGATAGTATATAAGGAAGATTAGTGATAACACTGTTGAATGACTAAAATATTTTAAAATGAAATACCATCTTTTGAAAAATATGAGAAAACATAAAGGAGATAAACCATATCAGTTGTTCAGAGTGTATGAAAAATTTTAGTCAAAAAAGCAGTCTTGTGACACACATGCGAATACATACCGGAGATAAACCATTTCAGTGTTCAGTGTGTCTGAAATGTTTTACTGAGAAAGGCAGTCTTGTGAAACACATGAGAGTACATACCGGAGATAAACCATTTCCTTGTTCAGAGTGTTTGAAATGTTTTACTGAAAAAGGCAATCTTGTGAGACATATGCGAATACATACAGGACATAAACCATTTCAATGTTCCGAGTGTTTGAAATGTTTTAGTGTAAAAAGCAGTTTTGTGACACACATGAGAGTGCATACGGGAGATAAACCCTTCCAGTGTTCAGAGTGTCCGAAATGCTTTACTGAAAAAAGCCATCTTGTGAAACATATGCGAGTACATACAGGAGATAAACCCTTCCAGTGTTCAGAGTGTCCGAAATGTTTTACTGAAAAAGGCAGTCTTGTGAAACATATGCAGGGACATACAGGAGTTAAACCTTTTCAGTGTTCAGAGTGTCTGAAATGTTTTAGTCAGAAAGGCAGGCTTGTGATACATATGCGAGTACATACGGGAGATAAAACATTTCAGTGTTCAGAGTGTCTGAAATGTTTTACCGAAAAAGGCCATCTTGTGAAACATATGCGAATACATACGGGAGATAAACCATTTAAATGTTCAGAGTGTTCGAAATGCTTTAGTGTAAAAAGCAGTCTAGTGACACATGTGCGAGTACATACAGGAGATAAACCATTTAAGTGTTCAGAGTGTTCAAAATGTTTTAGTATAAAAAGTAGTCTTGTGACACACATGCGGGTACATACAGGAGATAAACCATTTCATTGTTCAGAGTGTTCGAAATGTTTTAATGTAAAAAGCAGCCTTGTGACACATATGCGAGTACATACAGGAGATAAACCATTTCGTTGTTCAGAGTGTCTGAAATGTTTTAGTCAAAAAGGCAATCTTATGACACATATGCGAGTACATTCAGGAGATAAACCATTTCAGTGTTCAAAGTGTTCGAAATGTTTTAGTGTAAGAGGTAATTTTGTGACACAAATGCTAGCACATACAGAAGATAAAACATGTTAATGATTAATGTATCTTAACTTCACTTTATAAGTACTACACCATCCCATGTAGCTTTGTAGTTCTTGTGATTATCGTAGAGTATTCTTGTGCTAGAAGCATAGAACTGTGTCATTGTACTTATAAAGTATATCTCTCCAGTGCTTATAACTAATCTAGCAAATAATAGTAGCTGCTGAGCCAACGAAAAGGAAGTTGTGCTATACATTTATGATGGGAATTCATAGGCCTAAAGTGCCATGTGCAAGTAAATAAATAATAAGAGAACACTGTATCAGAAACAAGACGAGAATAAGTGTAGAAGCCTTCAAGAGGAAACTGGTGAAGTATCCACCAGGTGCCAGATCAACCAGGCTGTGGTGCATATATGGAGCAGTGGGCCTCCAGCAGCAACAGCCTGGTTGACCAGGCAAGCAAGCCTGGTCCATGGCTGGGCTCCAAGAGTTGTGAGACTCGAAACTCATCAAACATATTAGGTAGTATCAAATACTGTGATAGGAAAAAGAGGCTCTCTGATAATAGAGTGCAGTACATGGTATAATAGTGTTTACCATAATGGTACCATTGTGTATAATTATTGTGGTGTTAAACTAGAGGGAAGTGATAGGCCTAGCAGGTAACTCGAATTGTAAACAGTTGCAAGCAGTCGCCATGATACTACCACGCAAGCCAGTTCATCTTTGGTAATCTTCCCACAAACTGCTAGTCTACCTCAGTCTTAGTGATACCATAGAGTACAATTTTGTGGAAATATGAAACGTATACAATTTGTGGAAATAAGATAAAAATTGTAGAGTTGTTAGTGAACACAGTATAAACAACAGAAAACTAAATATTCTTCTGATAAACCTTTCTACCATAGCTAATAACAGTGATGCCAGAGTATTCAGTGTGGTGGAGTGAGAAACTAGAAATTTTTTGTGGAAATATGAAAAGTGTGCAGTGTTTTTTTATGGAAATACATAAAAATTTGTAGAGTTTTTCAGTGGTTTCCAGTATAAAAAAGACGCCAAATACTTTTCAGTAAACTTTTACATCAGTCATTCTACCATAGCTAACAACAGTGATACATAGTTAACAACAGTGATGCCATGGATTGGTGTGGTGGAGTTAGAAAAAATCTAGGAAAAGTTTAATTTTTATTTATATTTAAATCTTTCAGGGTCCAAGACCAAAATCTGAGTGGTGCCCATGCCAAGAATTTTCAAAATTTTTTTTTTTTTAATAACATGTAGAGAATACTTTTTTGAAGGTAAAACAAAAAGTACAAAATTGCATGGAATTTGACGTGTGCGATTAGAAAAAATCTAGAAAAGTTAATTTTTATTTATATATTAACCCTTTCAGGTCAAGACCAAAATCTGAAGTGTGCCCCAGTGTCCAAAATTACAATTTTTTTTTTTTATGGAAAAGGTACCACCAATACCACCAGTCTGATGACATTCTTCTTTGCAAATATACAGGGTCTAAAACCAGCAACGAACAACAAAATACCTTTCATCCGTGGACTGCATGCAGAGGCAAATGCAATGTTCGCGGCTTTCACAGAGACCCACATAAAGGATCAATTTGACAACAAAATATGGATCCCAGGTTACAACCTATACAGATGCGACAGAGTGAACAGGCAAAAGGGGGGGGGGTGGCCTGTATATCGCAGAGTCACTTGTTTGCACAAAACTGCTTAATGCCTCAAATGATGTAGTGGAAGTTTTAGCAGTAAAGATCGAGAACCAAAACCTAGTCATTGTGATAGTCTACATGCCTCCAGATGCAGCATCCCAGAAATTCCAAGAACAGCTGTTAAAAATTGACCACTGTCTAGAAAATCTGCCAGCTCCTGTCCCCAACATCTTGCTCCTGGGGGATTTCAACTTGAGCCACTTAAAATGGAGGAATATAACAAATAATGTTGTTGCAGTGATAACACCAGGAGGCAGCTCTGACGAGAACTCACACACGAGCTTTTAAATCTCTGCACAAAATTCAACTTAAACCAGCAAATAATAGAGCCTACTAGACTGAAGAATACACTAGACCTCATCTTCACTAACAATGATGATCTGATACGAAATGTCACCATATCAAAAACAATATACTCAAATCACAACATAATCAAGATTCAGACATGTATGCGTGGAGCCCCAGACCGACATAATGAGATTAGTCACGAGGGAGCATTCACCAAATTCAACTTCAATAACAAGAACATAAAGTGAGACCAAGTAAACCAAGTCCTAAATGATATAAGCTGGGAAGATAGACTAAGCAACACAGACCCCAACTTATGCCTAGAACAGATTAACTCGGTGGCACTCGATGTATGCTCAAGGCTTATTCCTTTAGGAAAAAGGAGGAGTGGATGTAAAATAGAAAGAGACCGGTGCTCCCTTTACAGGTGATGGAAAAGAATAACAGAGCGGCTAAAAGAGGCCAATATATCTGAAATGCATAGGGAGACACTGGTCAGAGAAATAGCAAACATCGAACTTAAGCTAAAGGAATCTTATAAGAGTCAGGAATCGCGGGAAGAACTAAAAGCCATAAATGAAATCGAAAGAAACCCAAAGTATTTCTTTTCCTATGCCAAATCAAAGTTGAGAACAATGTCCAGTATTGGGCCCCTACTTAAACAAGATGGATCCTACACAGATGACAGCAAGGAAATGAGTGAGTTACTCAAGTCCCAATATGACTCAGTTTTTAGCAGGCCGCTAACCATACTGAGAGTCGAAGATCAAAATGAATTTTTTATGAGAGAGCCACAGAATTTGGTTAACGCATGCCTATCTTATATTATCCTGACGCCAAATGACTTCAAACAGGCGATAAATGACATGCCCATGCACTCTGCCCCAGGGCCAGACTCATGGAACTCCGTGTTCATCAAGAACTGCAAGAAGCCCCCTATCACAAGCTTTTACCATCCTATGGAGAGGGAGCATGGACACAGGGGTCGTCCCACAGTTACTAAAAACAACAGACATAGCCCCACTCCACAAAGGGGGCAGTACAGCAATAGCAAAGAACTACAGACCGATAGTACTAACATCCCATATCATAAAAATTTTTGAAAGGGTCCTAAGAAGCAGGATTGCCACCCATCAGTTACACAACCCAGGGCAACATGGGTTTAGAGCAGGTTGTTCCTGTCTGACTCAACTACTGGATCACTACGACAAGGTCCTAGATGCACTAGAAGACAAAAAGAATGCAGATGTAATATATACAGACTTTTCAAAAGCCTTCGACAAGTGTAACCATGGCGTAATAGCGCACAAAATGCGTGCTAAAGGAATAACAGAAAAAGTTGGTAGATGAATCTATAATTTCCTCACAAACAGAACACAAAGAGTAGTAATCAGCAGAGTAAAGTCTGAGGTGGCTACAGTGACAAGCTCTGTTCCACAAGGCACAGTACTCACTCCCATCTTGTTTCTCATCCTCGTATCTGACATAGACAAGGATGTCAGCCACAGCACTGTGTCTTCCTTTGCAGATGACACCTGAATCTGCATGACAGTGTCTTCTATTGCAGACACTGCAAGGCTCCAGGCAGACATCAACCAAATTTTTTCAGTGGGCTGTAGAAAACAATATGAAGTTCAACGATGAGAAATTTCAATTACTCCGATATGATAAACATGAGGAAATTAAAACTTCATCAGAAACAAAACAAATTCCGGCCACAAAATAGAGCGAAAAACCAACGTCAAAGACCTGGGAGTGATCATGTCGGAGGATCTCACCTTCAAGGACCACAACGTTGTATCAATCGCATCTTCTAGAAAAATGACAGGATGGATAATGAGAACCTTCAAAACTAGGGACGCCAAGTCCATGATGACACTCTTCAGGTCGCTTGTTCTATCTAGGCTGGAATATTGCTGCACACTAACAGCATCTTTCAAGGCAGGTGAAATTGCTGACCTAGAAAATGTACAGAGAACCTTCACGGCACGCTTAACGGAGATAAAACACCTCAATTACTGGGAGCGCTTGAAATTCCTGAACCTGTACTCCCTGGAACTCAGGCGGGAGAGATACATGTTTATATACACCTGGAAAATCCTAGAGGGACTAGTACCGAACTTGCACACGAAAACCACTCACAACGAAAGCAAAAGACTCGGCAGACGATGCAACATCCCCCCAATGAAAAGCAGGGGTGCCACTAGCACGTTAAGAGACAATACAATAAGTGTCAGGGGCCCGAGACTGTTCAACTGCCTCCCAGCATACATAAGGGGGATTACCAATAGACCCCTGGCTGTCTTCAAGCAGGCACTGGACAAGCACCTAAAGTCAGTACCTGACCAGCCGGGCTGTGGCTCGCACATTGGATTGCGTGCAGCCAGCAGTAACAGCCTGGTTGATCAGGCTCTGATCCACCAGGAGGCCTGGTCACAGACCGGTCCGCAGGGGTGTTGACCCCCGGAACTCTCTCCAGGTAAACTCCAGGTAATATGTAAAACATGGCTCCTAAGACGTATATATACAACCGAAACAATCAATGGGTTAAACAATTACTGTAGCTTTTTGCTACTTTCAGAAACAATTTCCTGCAATTTGGCAAGGAAATTAGCTACTGCTGAACAATCAGCTGAAGTACTTTCACCAGAAAATTTAGTATTATGTACCTTATTACATAACCTGAACTTGTGAAACTAGCCGGTGCTCAATACACACTCTCATTCAGGTCTTCCTCATCACACACTGTTTCATAGATCTTTAGGGCTTTTTCCCTTAATTAAGATAAAATTAAGCAGTCACCTTTCTTTGTTTTCTGTTCAGTCCACTCAATCAGTAAATTTTCTGTTTTATTTAACTGCTGTGATCTATGTGTTAATCTTTTCAGGAGGTGACAACCTTGGTTATTTGTTGCAGAAGCCCATGTATTTGCCTCATTCTCTTTAATTGTACAAACCAACACTTCATTAAGACCATAAGCTCTCGCCATGTCCACCATATATGCACCACCACGACTTGGATGCTTAAACTCTTTTTTGCTACTTCCTGCATCACGCTCATGTCTTTTGGTTGTCATTGTTGCTTCACAGATACAAGATATGGTAATGAAAAGATCAAAACCTGATTCACAAACATGGATCTAGGAATCATATAGGATGTATATGTATGAGCACTGTCATGTGAGAGGTAGAATGGGGGTATCAGGGAAGGAAGGTAGGTTTTCCATGCAAAGACAATGGCCTGTCCCACAGGTAGGCTGCCCAAGAGCCCACTAGATGGAGGGAAAATATCCCGCAGTCCAGCTCAAAGCATTCCCATATTTTACCCACCCAGAAGCAGAACTGTGTTAGTCGAATTTTATGAAGTGTTAGTCAAAAATATGCTACAGTTTTGAAATAGTGTAATGGAGAAAACATGGTAAAGGAACATGTGTTAATCAATGGTCTACTGTATACACTATGCCTAAATATTTCTTAACTTTTTTTAGTTTTTCAAAAAATAGAAGTGGCTTTTATTTAGTGAAACGTGTGATAATATAAAAAAAAAACTTTAGCTCAATACATATATTGTATCCGTAATGGTGGAATATTGTACTATACTGACTCATGTTTCTATTGCAGAAGTATTTTGTGCAACACAACCAGGTTGTATCTTCCCAGACACTATCTTCAGCACTTTAAGAAGCATCAGTGTGTCTTGAACAACAAGTGTTACTGCAGAAGTATTTTGTGCAACACAACCAGGTTGTATCTTCCCAGACACTATCTTCAGCACTTAAAGAAGCATCAGTGTGTCTTGAACAACAAGTGTTACTGCATAAATATTTTATAGAACACAACTAAGTTGTGTCTTCCCAAACATTATCTTCAGTACTACAAGAAGCATCAATGTGTCTTGAACAACAAGTGTTACTGCAGAAATATTTTGTGCAACACAACTAGGTTGTGTCTTCCCAGACACTATCTTCAGTACTAAAAGAAGGGCAACACCTGTTATTCTTGTGAATTTTTAACTAGCTAAGTATTTCTAATCACACAATTTTGCTTTTGATATTGGTAATTCTATCTAAAAACTGCATAGCAGTTCATAGAAAAATTCAAGTTAATATTACTGTAGTTAAGAATTTTCATAAAAATCATTGTTTAAGAACAAAGAGAAAATAGTAATTTGGTAGTTTTGCCTAAAACAAAACGGAACATCGTAATATATTCATGAGGAAAACTGTGTGTGTTCAGTATCAAAAAAAGCTGACCAAAAAATAAATCTTGAAATACGCATGATAGTATATAAGGAAGATTAGTGATAACACTGTTGAATGACTAAAATATTTTAAAATGAAATACCATCTTTTGAAAAATATGAGAAAACATAAAGGAGATAAACCATATCAGTGTTCAGAGTGTATGAAAAATTTTAGTCAAAAAAGCAGTCTTGTGACACACATGCGAATACATACCGGAGATAAACCATTTCAGTGTTCAGTGTGTCTGAAATGTTTTACTGAGAAAGGCAGTCTTGTGAAACACATGAGAGTACATACCGGAGATAAACCATTTCCTTGTTCAGAGTGTTTGAAATGTTTTACTGAAAAAGGCAATCTTGTGAGACATATGCGAATACATACAGGACATAAACCATTTCAATGTTCCGAGTGTTTGAAATGTTTTAGTGTAAAAAGCAGTTTTGTGACACACATGAGAGTGCATACGGGAGATAAACCCTTCCAGTGTTCAGAGTGTCCGAAATGCTTTACTGAAAAAAGCCATCTTGTGAAACATATGCGAGTACATACAGGAGATAAACCCTTCCAGTGTTCAGAGTGTCCGAAATGTTTTACTGAAAAAGGCAGTCTTGTGAAACATATGCAGGGACATACAGGAGTTAAACCTTTTCAGTGTTCAGAGTGTCTGAAATGTTTTAGTCAGAAAGGCAGGCTTGTGATACATATGCGAGTACATACGGGAGATAAAACATTTCAGTGTTCAGAGTGTCTGAAATGTTTTACCGAAAAAGGCCATCTTGTGAAACATATGCGAATACATACGGGAGATAAACCATTTAAATGTTCAGAGTGTTCGAAATGCTTTAGTGTAAAAAGCAGTCTAGTGACACATGTGCGAGTACATACAGGAGATAAACCATTTAAGTGTTCAGAGTGTTCAAAATGTTTTAGTATAAAAAGTAGTCTTGTGACACACATGCGGGTACATACAGGAGATAAACCATTTCATTGTTCAGAGTGTTCGAAATGTTTTAATGTAAAAAGCAGCCTTGTGACACATATGCGAGTACATACAGGAGATAAACCATTTCGTTGTTCAGAGTGTCTGAAATGTTTTAGTCAAAAAGGCAATCTTATGACACATATGCGAGTACATTCAGGAGATAAACCATTTCAGTGTTCAAAGTGTTCGAAATGTTTTAGTGTAAGAGGTAATTTTGTGACACATATGCTAGCACATACAGAAGATAAAACATGTTAATGATTAATGTATCTTAACTTCACTTATAAGTACTACACCATCCCATGTAGCTTTGTAGTTCTTGTGATTATCGTAGAGTATTCTTGTGCTAGAAGCATAGAACTGTGTCATTGTACTTATAAAGTATATCTCTCCAGTGCTTATAACTAATCTAGCAAATAATAGTAGCTGCTGAGCCAACGAAAAGGAAGTTGTGCTATACATTTATGATGGGAATTCATAGGCCTAAAGTGCCATGTGCAAGTAAATAAATAATAAGAGAACACTGTATCAGAAACAAGACGAGAATAAGTGTAGAAGCCTTCAAGAGGAAACTGGTGAAGTATCCACCAGGTGCCAGATCAACCAGGCTGTGGTGCATATATGGAGCAGTGGGCCTCCAGCAGCAACAGCCTGGTTGACCAGGCAAGCAAGCCTGGTCCATGGCTGGGCTCCAAGAGTTGTGAGACTCAAAACTCATCAAACATATTAGGTAGTATCAAATACTGTGATAGGAAAAAGAGGCTCTCTGATAATAGAGTGCAGTACATGGTGTTTACCATAATGGTACCATTGTGTATAATTATTGTGGTGTTAAACTAGAGGGAAGTGATAGGCCTAGCAGGTAACTCGAATTGTAAACAGTTGCAAGCAGTCGCCATGATACTACCACGCAAGCCAGTTCATCTTTGGTAATCTTCCCACAAACTGCTAGTCTACCTCAGTCTTAGTGATACCATAGAGTACAATTTTGTGGAAATATGAAACGTATACAATTTGTGGAAATAAGATAAAAACTGTAGAGTTGTTAGTGAACACAGTATAAACAACAGAAAACTAAATATTCTTCTGATAAACCTTTCTACCATAGCTAATAACAGTGATGCCAGAGTATTCAGTGTGGTGGAGTGAGAAACTAGAAATTTTTTGTGGAAATATGAAAAGTGTGCAGTGTTTTTTTATGGAAATACATAAAAATTGTAGAGTTGTCAGTGGTCCCAGTATACAAAAAAGACGCCAAATACTTTTCCAGTAAACTTTCTACACCAGTCATTCTACCATAGCTAACAACAGTGATACCATAGTTAACAACAGTGATGCCATGGTATTTGGTGTGGTGGAGTTAGAAAAAATCTAGGAAAAGTTAAATTTTTATTTTATATTAACCTTTCAGGGTCCAAGACCAAAATCTGAAGTGGTGCCCCAGTGTCCAAGAATTTTCAAAATTTTTTTTTTTTTAATTAAATGGTAGAGAATCTTTTTGTGAAGGTAATAAAACAAAAAGTACAAAATTTGATGGAAATTTGACGAAATTATGCTCTCGCGAATTTTGACGTAACAGCAATATTACGAATCAGCGATTTTTCCAAATTTGACTCCCATTTTAGGCCAATTACATTATTCCAGTCGACCAAATTCTTAGCTATTTCACTAGTATTACTTCTATTCTATCAATTGAGCACAAGAAATTGCCAAGTCAATTGTTTCAACTACAAAATAAAGTGACTGGAAATTGGTAATTTGGCCAGTTTAACACAAAGTTCAAAATATTCCAATTTTAAAATAGAGTCCAGAATAAACAATGTGGGTATTCCTGGCACTAAACTAACATTTCCTCTGTTCGTTAGTTACGTTTTGAGGCTTTACAAATAAATTCCATTTTGATTTTTTATTCACAATGAATTATTATTCATACCAAAAAATAGAAGATTTACTGTTATGCAATATTGTAATAATTGTATAAATATCATCACCACATTTGTGAATGTATATTAGACCCACCAGCTGGCGTGTATTAGAAGTGTGAGGTCGTTTGTTTACTCTAGAACATCGACAAAAATTTAAGATTTCCGTTACTTTGAGCTCAGTTTCAAGCCATTTACAATGCTAAAACCAATCAAAATCATCTCTATTTCTGTAATATGTCTTCCATTCTATCAAATGAGACCAAGAAATTGCAAATACAACTATGAAAAACATACGAGAAAACACTGCAAAGTTGCTGTTTTAATCGGGAATCACGGTCTCATTTTTTTTTCTCTCATTATACAGTGTGCTGCAGGATTTGTTTTATGTGGTGCACACATACCACATAGATGTATTCTCTCATATCCAGGCCCAAATTTACCACTCACAGTTTATCAGAGTGAGCTGAGCTCATGGCGTAGATCTACGGTTTGGACCCTGAACGTAAAGCCGTAGATCTACGGGACGGACCCTAAAAGGTTAAAACATCGGCCATTTTCCATCAAGGCAAGGTGACCCATAAAAGAAGAAACACTTTCATCATCATTCACTCCATCACTGTCTCTCCAGAGGCACACTTATGTTACAGTTATAAAACTGCAACATCAGCACCCTTCCTTCAGAGTGCAGGCACTGTACTTCCACCTCCAGGACTCAAGTCCGGCCTGCCGTTTCTCTGAATCTCTTCACATATGTTAACCAGCTCACACTCCAATAGCACGTCAAGTCATAAAAAACAATTGTCTCCACTTGCTCCTATGTAACATGCTCATGAATGCTTAGTGGAAGTCCAAGTTCCTCGCACAAAAAACTCCTTTACCCCCTCCCTCCAACCTTTTCTATGCATTCCTTCTACCATAGATTTATATGCTCTTCAAGTCATTCTGTGTCATTCCAAACCACCTCAGCAACCCCTCCTCAGCCCTTTGGTTAACACTTTTGGTAACCCTGCACCTCCTCCTAATTTCCAAACTACGGATTCTCTCTATTATATTCACACTGCACATTGCCTTCAGACATCTCCACTGCCTCCAACCTTCTCCTTGTTGTAACATTCACCACCCATGCTTCACATGCATATAAGAGCATTGGTATACCTATATATACTCTCACACATTCCCCTCTGCTTCCATGGATAAAGTTCTTTGTCTCCACAGACTACTCAGTGCACCACTCACCCTTTTCCCTTCGTCAATTCTATGAATCTCCTCATCTTTCATAGACCCATCTGCTAACATGTCCACTCCCAAATATCTGAATACATTCACTTCCTCCATACTCATTCCAATCTGATATCCAATCTTTCATTACCTAAATTTTTTGTTATCCTAATCATCTGACTTTCCTATGTTCACTTTTAATTTCCTTCTTTTACTTACCCAACCAAACTCATCCACCAACCTCTGCAACTTCTCTTCAGAATCTCCCAAAAGCACAGTGCATCAGTAAAGAGAAACTGTGATAACTTCCATTTTGTGTTAGATTCTTTATCTTTTAACCCCAAACCTCTTGCCAATACTTGAGAATTCACTTCTCTTACAACCCCATCTATAAATATATTGAACAACCATGGTGACATCACACAGCCTATGAATACTGCCCTCTCACAGCCTGCTGATTCTGCCTCACAGCCACTAATACTTCTTCCTCACAGCCTTCTAATACTGCTTTTTCACTGCCTACTAATACTGCCTTTTTACAGCCTACTAATACTGCCTCTTCATAGCCTACTATTCCTGGTAAATAATCCTCATGTATGTCTGTAGTAACCTTTCACCCACTACTGCCGGAGCTTAACGTTGTTCTGTCTGTAGTGACCTCTCACCCACAACAGCCAGAGCTTAACTTTGTTTATCATTCACTCATGTAACCTTTACTCAACTTTTTTTTTATGTAAGTTATGTCTTTTTTTGCAGTGTAATATTTTAAGATACCAGGTTAATCAGGGAGAGCTCTAACAACAAACAAAGGTTACAATATGTGTTTACATTTCATAATTTGATTGGTACATAGAAAGTTGTTATCATGTCGAGGCATTTCGGGCAGACTTACCCTAATACTTAAAGACTACTTAAGTTTACCTGGAGTTTACCTGGAGAGAGTTTCGGGGGTCAACGCCCCCGCAGCCCGGTCTGTGACCAGGCCTCCTGGTGGATCAGCGCCTGATCAACCAGGCTGTTGCTGCTGGCTGCACGCAAACCAACGTACGAGCCACAGCCCGGCTGATCAGGAACTGACTTTAGGTGCTTGTCCAGTGCCAGCTTGAAGACTGCCAGGGGTCTGTTGGTAATCCCCCTTATGTGTGCTGGGAGGCAGTTGAACAGTCTTGGGCCCCTGACACTTATTGTATGGTCTCTTAACGTGCTAGTGACACCCCTGCTTTTCATTGGGGGGATGGTGCATCGTCTGCCAAGTCTTTTGCTTTCGTAGTGAGTGATTTTCGTGTGCAAGTTCGGTACTAGTCCCTCTAGGATTTTCCAGGTGTATATAATCATGTATCTCTCCCTCCTGCGTTCCAGGGAATACAGGTTTAGAAACCTCAAGCGCTCCCAGTAATTGAGGTGTTTTATCTCCGTTATGCGCGCCGTTGAAAGTTCTCTGTACATTTTCTAGGTCGGCAATTTCACCTGCCTTGAAAGGTGCTGTTAGAGTGCAGCAATATTCCAGCCTAGATAGAACAAGTGACCTGAAGAGTGTCATCATGGGCTTGGCCTCCCTAGTTTTGAAGGTTCTCATTATCCATCCTGTCATTTTTCTAGCAGATGCGATTGATACAATGTTATGGTCCTTGAAGGTGAGATCCTCCGACATAATCACTCCCAGGTCTTTGACGTTGGTGTTTCGCTCTATTTCGTGGCCAGAATTTGTTTTGTACTCTGATGAAGATTTAATTTCCTCATGTTTACCATATCTGAGTAATTGAAATTTCTCATCGTTGAACTTCATATTGTTTTCTGCAGCCCACTGAAAGATTTGGTTGATGTCCGCCTGGAGCCTTGCAGTGTCTGCAATGGAAGACACTGTCATGCAGATTCGGGTGTCATCTGCAAAGGAAGACACGGTGCTGTGGCTGACATCCTTGTCTATGTCGGATATGAGGATGAGGAACAAGATGGGAGCTAGTACTGTGCCTTGTGGAACAGAGCTTTTCACCGTAGCTGCCTCGGACTTTACTCTGTTGACGACTACTCTCTGTGTTCTGTTAGTGAGGAAATTATAGATCCATCGACCGACTTTTCCTGTTATTCCTTTGGCGCGCATTTTGTGCGCTATTATGCCATGGTCACACTTGTCGAAGGCTTTTGCAAAGTCTGTATATATTACATCTGCATTCTTTTTGTCTTCTAGTGCATTTAGGACCTTGTCGTAGTGATCCAGTAGCTGAGACAGACAGGAGCGACCTGTTCTAAACCCATGTTGCCCTGGGTTGTGTAACTGATGGGTTTCTAGATGGGTGGTGATCTTGCTTCTTAGGACCCTTTCAAAGATTTTTATGATATGGGATGTTAGTGCTATTGGTCTGTAGTTCTTTGCTGTTGCTTTACTGCCCCCTTTGTGGAGTGGGGCTATGTCTGTTGTTTTTAGTAACTGAGGGACGACCCCCGTGTCTATGCTCCCTCTCCATAGGATGGAAAAGGCTCGTGATAGGGGCTTCTTGCAGTTCTTGATGAACACAGAGTTCCATGAGTCTGGCCCTGGGGCAGAGTGCATGGGCATGTCATTTATAGACAAACTTCAAATTATTCAATATGTATTTTACTCAATTATTAACCCTTTCAGGGTCCGTGCCGTTGATCTACGGGTTTACGTTGAGGGTTCAAACCGTAGATCTACGCCATGAGCTCAGCTCACTCTTATGAGTTGTGAGTGGTAAATTTGGGCCTAGATATGAGAGAATATATCTATGTGGTATGTGTGCACCACATAAAACAAATCCTGCAGCACACAGTGCATAATGAGATATAAATTCTCTGGAAAATGTACAAAGGAGGATGACAAAGTTGATCCCATGTATCAGAAACCTTCCCTATGAGGATAGACTAAGGGCCCTGAATCTGCACTCTCTAGAAAGACGTAGAATTAGGGGGGATATGATTGAGGTGTATAAATGGAAGACAGGAATAAATAAAGGGGATGTAAATAGTGTGCTGAAAATATCTAGCCTAGACAGGACTCGCAGCAATGGTTTTAAGTTGGAAAAATTCAGATTCAGGAAGGATATAGGAAAGTACTGGTTTGGTAATAGAGTTGTGGATGAGTGGAACAAACTCCCAAGTACCGTTATAGAGGCCAGAATGTTGTGTAGCTTTAAAAATAGGTTGGATAAATACATGAGTGGATGTGGGTGGGTGTGAGTTAGACCTGATAGCTTGTGCTACCAGGTCGGTTGCCGTGTTCCTCCCTTAAGTCAATGTGACCTGACCTGACTAGGTTGGGTGCATTGGCTTAAGCCGGTAGGAGACTTGGACCTGCCTCGCATGGGCCAGTAGGCCTTCTGCAGTGTTCCTTCGTTCTTATGTTCTTATGAGAGAAAAAAAACTGAGACCGTAATTTTCGATTAAAACAGCAAGTTTGCAGTGTTTTTTCATATGTTTTTATAGTTGTATTTGCAATTTCTTGGTCTCAGTTGATAGAATGGAAGATTATTTTTATTTTTTTTATTATCACACCGGCCGATTCCCACCAAGGCAGGGTGGCCCGAAAAAGAAAAACTTTCACCATCATTCACTCCATCACTGTCTTGCCAGAAGGGTGCTTTACACTACAGTTTTTAAACTGCAACATTAACACCCCTCCTT